CTGTTATATACTGTATGTGTATGACAGCTACTCCCTCCGTCTCAAAATATAAGAGCGTTTTTGGCACTACACTAGTGTAAAAAATGCTCTTATATTTTGGGACGGAGGGAGTATGTTTGTTTGGAGAGTAGTAACATTCTGTTTGAGCCATCTTTTTCCACAATATATATTTACATGGGAGATGGTTTTGCTTGCAGTATTTGTAAATTTATTTATGGTCCACCCGTGTTCCCAAGGTTCGCCTCTTACTGACGAGGGATTGTGTGCTCGTTGCTCTTATATTTGTGTATGTGTATATGACAGGTATGTTTGTTTGGAGAGCAGTAACATTTTGTTTTACACATCTTTTCTGAAATCTGTAACATGGGAGATGGTTTTGCTTTCAATATTTGTAAATTTGTTTAGGTGTCCTATGATATATGCGTGTGGTTTATATTTGCGACACAAAAACCTGACAATTCTTTATTCCTTCTTCATCTGGTCTATGTTTGTTTGATACCTTTAGACCCTTGTGGAGCTTGGCTTGGTTTATTTGATTGATGCTGATCCAAACCACCTTTTGGTAATGGCGACCCTTCTTTCTATCCCTTCATGTAGAAACAGATGCGACGAACTATTTTATGGGCGGATTACGCATTGCCATCCGGGCAGTTGGGGTCGCGATATGGTATATGCCTGAGAGCATAGACATCTCATGCAACATGAAAAGAAACACTTGAATACAAGCTTGTTTTGCAGACAGCACATATGAGTGCCCACCTTTCAGTGTCTCAAACCTGCCCTGGAAAGAGGAGGTCACTGCCATCCAGTTCAATCAGTGTGCAACATCATTCTTTTCAGGATGACCACTGCTGCGTCTAACTTTATTTTCTGAAGAATGGTCTCATGGTCTGTACAAACCTCTCATAACCCAACAAATGTGGTACTATTTCCATAAGATTTTTGTTTTATTGGTACAGCCATTGCCCTTGCTATTTTTCTACTGATATAACTACTCTTGTGCAGAAAATGTGACATCTGAAAACTCAGAGCTAAAAGGACCATTCATATACATCTCGGGAGAGGAAAAGGCCGCGCCGCATCCTGATCTGATAGGGCCTTCCTTTCATTTAGTCTAGTCACCAATCTGAGGGTTTTTACATTACAGCCTGCCTGTGGTCTAAAAAAAAATTCTTGTAGGTTAGAGCTGGCGAAAGTTCCATGTTGGGAGCATCATGGAATCTCTCTCTGCACCAATCACATGCATGAAAAGCACCCAAATTTTCCCCTGTTAACCCCAGCAGCAGTGGTGCCAAGCAGCACTGAAGCAAAAGATTTGGCACTGTTGCTTGTTTTTGGGGTGGTGCTAATCAGGCAATCAGCAATTGTATTATGGAGGGGAGAGTACTTAAATCCTAATTTTGTGAGCTAACAAAAGAGTGAGAAAACACAAAGCACCTTCAGATCACAACAGCACAGTGTCTGCCCTAGAAAGAACAAAGCTGACCTGTTGCCACCATATGAACTCAACTTAACTTGTGGAGTAGCTTTTTTTTCGTGCAACTGGCAGGAACTCTTGTCTTTTCAAATAGAAGAAAAGAATTGACTATTAGTTATAAGGAAAACTAGCCGAAAACCGAGGAGTAGCTTACTGTCCAGCCCCCAGGAGCTATAAGAGGAGCCTCCGCGACGCATGCTCCACATCGAAGTTCCATCTTGCAACATGAGGAAACACACTCTCGCCCTCTTCCTCCTGCTCCTCACCTTTGCCTCCCATGGGGCATGGTGCGCAGCAGCAGCGCGAAGCGCCATGGCTGAGGATGCAGCTCGTCATCATCTGAGGCCTCATCACCATGGTTGGTATTAAGTGTGCATCCATCTCATCTCCTCTTTGCTCTCTACTTTCTTGATATACCATCTCTTAAAACTATTCCTGGAACCGCTGTTTCATACTTTCCAAAAACCCCAAGGCAAGAGGCTCCTGGAGATACAGGCTCCCAGGAAGGTCGGGCACGCGACAGGTGGATCCGGAGGCAGCAGCGGCGCCGGCAGGAGCGGTGGCGGCGGCACGGACACAAGGCCACACAACAGCAAGAATGGCGGTGCCATGGCGGCGCTGCCAGCTCCAGCGACCTCCCTCCTGGCGCTGGTTCTCACCGCTACCATTCTTCTCTCGGCGCACAGCTTCTGAAGCACTCCCTCCGTCTTTTTCTACAAGGCATTTCGGACAGCTGACATTGAACTGTTTTGTGCATTGTCTGAATTGTCTAGACGTCTTATAAAAGCGAACAGAGGGAGCACTGCTCATCTCGATTGCGGGCGCAGTACTAGTATGTGTGTACTGTTGCAGTTCCAGAAACTGTTTGCATAATGCTTGTGGAGTGATATGCTGTTTACTGGCTATAGTATTTATTTATCGTGTCTGTGTGCTTCCTAAATTGTTGAATTACTTGTGTGTTGGCTAGCCAGTGGAATCTATATTATCTATCAGTATAGTCAGCCAGCTCAGGAAGTTAGTTAGGGATCTAAACTTTGTGTCCTGATTGTGCAATCATATCACTGCACAGTAATAAGAAGATCAGTACAAAGAACGTTCCAAAACTCGAACAACCATGATAATAAAGACAATCAGTAGCAAGAAGAGAGCAGAAGCCTTCAGGAGCAGATGAGGATCGATCACGATCACATTCGTACCAAGAAACAAGAACGTGATCAACCAGAGAAGAAAAAGGAATTGGTAAGAGAGAAGAAGCGACGACAAGAAGACAATCGAACCCAATAAGAAACTGGGATGGAGGCCAAACTTCAATCAGTGGAAATATCATTCTTTTCAGGATGACCACTGCTGCATCTAATTTTATTTTAGGAAGAAGAAGAAAACAAACACCCTCTATGATTTCATAAATCCAGTTTCATGATCTGCACAAGCTTCTCATAACCCAGCAAATGTACTATCTTCTACTGATATAACTGTTCTTGCGCAGGAAATGTCGAAACTTGGGTTAAAAGGACCGTTCAAAATTCAGCGAAAACGACATCTCAGAAAGGCAAACATCACACCGTATCTCCTGATCGGACCTTCCTTTCATGTAGTCGGTAACCAAAAAACCAATCTCATGATTTTTACATTACAGCCTGCATGTGGTCTCAAAAAAACCTTGTAGGTTAGAGCTGGCAAAAGGTCAAGGAATCTATGCGCTAACCACATGCACTGAAAAACAACCAAATGCTCTGCTTGCCGTGGCTTTTGCTTTGTCCCCTCCTCTTATCCCCCCAGCAGAATCATCGGTCGTGCCAAATAATAGCACTGAAGCAAAATTCTTGTCTTAAATTTATCTAGATACGAATGTATCTAACACTAAGATGTGACTCGATACATTTATATGTAGACAAATTTAAAACAAGAATTTTGGGACGGAGGGAGTAGCACTGAAGCAAAAGATTTCATACTGTTGCTTTATTTTTTGAGTGGTGCCAATGGACAACAGTATTGATAGAGAGCACTAATCATGAATGTGAGCTGACAAAAGAGTGAGAAAGGCACACAATAGTATTATATCAGAGTACTAATCCTGATTTTGTGGGCTAACAAAAGAGTGGGAAAGGCACACAATAGTATTATATCAGAGTACTAATCCTGATTTTGTGGGCTAACAAAAGAGTGGGAAAGGCACAGCACAAAGCACCTCCAGCTCACAGCACCCCAGAAAGAACAAAGCTCAACTGGTGCCACCATGAACTCCAGCCTCCAGGAATTATAAGAGGAGCCTCCCGCACAGGCTGAACATCGGCGTTTCTCTGTTGGTCACCAATCCCATCTCAAGATGAGGAAAGGCGCTCTCGCTCTCTACCTCCTCCTGCTCCTCGCCTTTGCTTCCCATGGCGTATGGTGTGCAGCAGCTGCAAGGAGCGCCGTGGCCGAGGAGGATGCAGCACATCATGATCTGAGGCCTCATCACCACGGTTGGTATTTTGTGTGCATCGATCTCCCCTTTGCTCTCCAATTTCTTGATATCTTTCAGGTCCCATGAGCCTTGACATGAAGCTAAATCTCTTACAAAAGCACTCCTGGAAATGCTGTTTTGCTTTTCAGGAACACGAGGCAAGAGTCTCCTGGAGATGCAGAGTCCCAGGAAGGTTGGGCGGGCGACAGGTGGTGCCGGAGCAAGCGGCGGCGGCGGCAGGAACACTGGTGCCGGAGCGACAGACACGAGGCCACACAACGGCAAGAACGTTGCCACGGCGCTGCCAGCTCCAGCGACTTCCGTCCTGGTGCTGGTTTTCACCACCACCACCATTCTTCTCTCGACGCTCAGCTTCTGAAGTTCTAGCACCAATATTTGTCCAGTGTTTCATCAGTTTCAGAATTTGTTCGCCTGATGATGTTTGCTGGCTACCACTCCCTCCCTCTCAAAATAAGTGTCTCAACTTTGTACTAAATTTAGTACAAAGTTGTACTAAACTTGTGACACTTATTTTGGGAAGGAGAGAGTATTATTTATCCTGTATGAGTGCTTCTAAGTTGTTGAATTTCTTGTATGCTGGGTTCGTGCTAGTCATAGAGACATTAATAATCAGGTAATGAAAATCTCCCATGTGTATTGTTAGTAAAACAGCCAGGTATGCATGTTCATCTACATAATATCCTGCTCACCAGTGTGTTGACCAGCCACTGGAATCTATACTGTTCACCCGTGTAAGCAAGATATATTCAGCCAGCTCAAAAAGTTAGGACCAAAACGCTGTGTCCTTATCACTCTACAGTACACCCTCCGCAAAAACGTCTTATATTTATATTTAGGTAGTACACTAGCACTCCCGAACAACAATAAAACTACTACTAATAAAGACAATCTGTACTTTAGCAAGAATAATCTGTGATGATAAAGACAATCAGTAGCAAGAAGAGAACAACTGGTGCCACCATGAACTTAACTTGTGGAGTATAGCTACTCCCCAGCCTCCAGGAATTATAAGAGGAGCCTCCGTGAGTTTCTCTTGGTCACCAGTCCATCCCCAAGATGAGGAAAGGCACTCTCGCTCTCGCGCTCTTCCTCCTCCTCACCTTTGCTTCCCATGGCGTATGGTGTGCGGCAGCTGCGAGAAGCGCCATGGCCGAGGAGGACGCAGCTCATCGTCATCATCTGAGGCCTCATCAACATGGTTGGTACTTTGTGTGCATCCATCTCCTCTTTGCTCTCTACTTTCTTGATTGTCATGAAGCGAAATCTCTTACAGAAGTATTCCATGAATTACTGCCTTTCACTTTGCAGAAACCCAAGAGGGGAGGATGCAGACTGCCAGGAAGGTTGGGCGCATGGCAGGCGGCTCTGGGGAAGGCAGTGGTAGGAACACCGGTGGCGCCGCAGACACAGGGCCGCACAACACCAAGAACGGCGGCACTGTGGCCCTGCCGGCCGCGTCGACCTCTGCTTTGGCGCTGGTTTTCACAGCTACCGTCCTTCTCTCGACGCTCAGCTTCTGAAGGTGCTGATCTTGTAGTGTTGCGGTTTCAGAAATTTGTTCGCCTCATGTTTGACAGTATCGGACAGTTGTGTTTACTGGCTAGTCTCCATCCTGTCTGTGCAAGTTATTGGATTCTACAAGTCACATCCCCTTGTTTGTTGTCAGTAAAACGATGAGGTAGGAATGCCAAAGTTCTTCTACATGGAAATCCACTGGTAGGATATATTCAGGGATCTACATGTTATGTTGACTACCCAGTGGAATCTAAAATGTTCATCAGTGAAAAGAAGATATATTGAGCCGGCTCAAGAAGTTAGATGTTTCGCCCCAGGGATCTAAACGTTGTGTTTGTGTCATCACAATGCAATCATATTTTGCTTTCATTATATTACTGTGCGGTAAAAACAACAGCGGCAGCAAGAACGTTCCAAAACTCACACAGCAAAACACCATGCCGGCAGGCAGGCAACAGCAAGATGAGAACGGAAGCATCGAGAACACGCAGCCATGGAAGAGAACGAAAGCAAGGACAGGAAGAACCATCAAAGCTTTGGGATCCATGAAGAAGAAAACGAACACCATCTATGATTTCACAAATCCAGTTTCCTGATCTGTACAAACGTCATAACCCAACAAATGCACTATTTGTCTAAGATTCTTCTTAGTTGTTCTCCTTGCTAATTTCCACTGATATAACTGTTCTTGTGTGGAAAATGTCAAAACATGGGCAAAAAGGCGCTCAAATTTCGGCCAAAAAAAATATAAAAAAGGCAAAGATCACACGGTATCCCCTCATGTTTTTTACATTTCAGCCTGCATGTGGTCTCAAAAAAGTCTTGTAAGTTAGAGCTGGCAAAAATTCATGGAATCTATGCGCAAATCACATGCACTGAAAATAACAAAATGTTCTGCTTTGTCCCCTCACCCCAGCAGAATCATCAGTCCTGCCAAATAGCAATGAAGAAAAGATATCATACTGTTGATTGTTTTTGGAGTGGTGCTAATCCACAATGGTATTAAGTGAGTGTCCTGATTGTGAGCTAACAAAAGAGTGAGAAGGCACACAATAGTATTTCATGAGTACAAATCCTGATTTTGTGAGCCAACAAAAGAGTGGGAAGGCAGAGCACAGAGCACATCCAGGTCAGTGTCAGCACCAGAAAGAACAAAGCTCAACTGGTGCCACCACGAATTTAACTTGTGGAGTATATATACTCTCCAGCCTCCAGGAATTCTCCTCTTTGCTCTCTACTTCTATTGTCATGAAGCCAAATCTCTCACAAAAGTACTCCTTAAATTGCTGCTTTTCACTTTGCAGAAACCAAAGGCGAGAGGATCCAGACTGCCAGGAAGGTTGGGCTCATGGCAGGCAGCTGCGGCGGAAGGAACACCAGTGGTGGCGCCAGACATGAGGCCGCACAACACCAACAACGGCAGCACTGTCAGCTGCAGGGACCTCTGCTCTGGCGCTGGTTTTTAGTGTCTTTGTCTCGGCACAGCTTCTGAAGCACTGATCTTGTAGTGTTGCAGTTTCAGAAATTGTTTGCCTGGTGCTTGTACAGTTGTGTTTACTGGCTATAGTCTCCATTCTGTGTGTGTAAGTTCTTGAATTACTTGAATGAGGATGGATTCTACAAGTCACATAGACATTACTACTAATCAAGCAATGAAACTATAAAAAAGCATACGCTTGTTTGTTTCCAGAAAAAAGATCTGCATATTATGTTGGAACACCCAGCGGAATCTAAACTGTTCATCAGTGCAAGCAAGAAGCTAGATGTTTCACCCCACCCCACCCCACGGATCTGAACGTTGTGTTTGTGCCATCATCCTGCAATCACTCGCACGGCAAAAACACCATGCCACCAAGACAGGCAGCAGCAAAAGAACGGGGGCCTCAAGAACAGGCAGCCATGGAAGAGAACGCAAGAAGGACAAGAACCACCAAGGCTTTGGGATATAAGGTTAAAAATGGCGTCGGCTCAGAGTAAAACCTTTCGCCGAATGAAATCACATCACGCTACTACCGTCCCGGGACGGGAGGCAGCCGTAAGACCGGCCTTTCGATTTCTCCTCACTGCCGCACATCAACATCGCGTTCGAACCAAGAAACAACAAACACGATCAACCAAATGGAGAAGAAAAAGGAATCAAAACCCAAGAACGCAATCGAAACCACGAAGAAACCGAGTTCATGGCGCCGCCGCAACGCGATACAGAACAGAGGAGGGGGAAGGGAGGAGAGGGGCGATGGGAGCCCTAAGTTTATATATAGAGCAGCAGCTCGGCTCGCGGTCGCCTGCTGGGCCGACGTTCCAGGGCCGACATGTGCTGGCTGGCCTTCGCCCGCAGCCGGTGGAGGTGGGCCGGCGTTCCAGGCCCGATATGTGCTGCCATTCGTCCGTCCACTGGCTTTGCCATTTTTCGCGCTCGTTCACTGGATGTTTGGGTTTTTTTTGTTCTTTTTCTTGTGTGGTTTTTTATTTCGTTTTTTAATTATATTTTTATCTTTTCAGATTTGGTTTTTCTTCTTTTTTCTAAATAATGCATATTTTATTTTTTTATAGTTTTCGTAATATACGGTCAACATTTTATTTAAGGAGCTTAGTTTGGGAAGCTCTAGCTGAAAGATTTCTTAGCCTAAAAAAAGAGACCTGGCAAATTTCTTGTTTCTTTTGCTGGCTTCTCCTCCCGCACAGAATAATCCTCGCTGTAGAGCGGCAGCGCCGATGAAACCGGTTTCCTCCAAATTTGTTACCATTTCTCCAAGCATGTCTGCAAGAACCTGAAAAATCACCCAGAAGGAAGTTCAATATGTCTTGAGAGCAACCGAACATCTTTTGTCGTCTCACATCCAGAAAGAAAAGAGCATAGCGATGGGAACCTGCTGAGACGCCCCTGCCAGTGGACAGTAGGGTGTTGGTTTTGATCTGACGGCTTAAACAAGCCAGTTAGATCTATTAATTTAACAAAAAGAAAAAGGAGGAAAGGATAACGATAAGTGAAGGGGTCCACGTACCAACGTATGTGAGCCTCGATCAGAACTAACGCGCCCTGATCGGGGGGGCCCAAAAACCAACTCAGGTTTTGGGTCCCCTGTCGCCAGCGCCATATAAAAGGATACGGGAGAGAGCTGGCCACCTGCGAGAACACAATTCACGTATGGTTTTCTCTCTTCCCGATATTCTCACCCCATCCGATTAGGGGGAGCGCTGTTGCGACGGGAAGACCTAAGCAAGCCGTCGTCGCCGTCCCCGGCCAGTCTTGGTGGCGTCCTGAAGGAATCAGGACGTCGAGGAGAACCTCTGCTTCGACTACATCACCCCTACATCACGTCTGCACCGAGCAGGCGATCATGTCCACTCCCGTGACATGTAAAGAAACCCTAATTCATTCTTTGTTCATGTTGTGAGGTGATCTAGATGCAATTAGATTCTGCTAATGGCATCTCATAGATGCATAATTAGTCTAACAATGGTATCAGTCGCCAATCTTGATTGCAATAGATCCCTTTATTGTTGATCAGTAGATCACTATCATGTTTAGATCAATGACATGTTTAGGGTTCATGATCAAGATTGAAAGTTTCAGCCCCTGGTTAGCCCAAATATGCATGCTACTGTCTTAATGTCCTCTGTAAATCATCATGTTATATGCTAATTTGTCACGGATCTCTACTACCTATTATGCCTAATCAGTTTACTTATGCTTCTGGAGAATTAATGCTCATGATTAAGTTTCTGCTAATTAAGATTGATTGTTTTTAAGTGTTGTTTCTGTTTTGGACATCAAGTTGGTAAGAAGAGGGATACACGTACATCAACAGTAGCAAACCCCTTATTCAAGAACCCTAATTTTTTCCCCAATTCAGTAGAACCCTAATTCTGAAATTAGGATTGCTTTTTCCCCACATCAAGCAACTAATGTACATGAATTGGAGAAGAAAATGAGAAGAAATTCTCACCAAATGCGCCGTGTAGCCGCCTTTTCCCTTCGGGGCCCGCACAACGCCCACAGCAGCCGTGACGCCGTCGTGCCCTGACCGACGCGCGGAATGCTCCTGCGCCTTGCCGCCGCTCTTACGGACGCGCGCGTGTACGGTCCGTCGCCCTGCACGTCGCCGTCGACCCCAACAACCGCGGTGGCTGGTGCACCCCTCACCCACCGAGCGAAGCACCATCTGTGGACGCCGGGGCCACGCTCGACGGGGGAGCGGGTGGGATTCATCCTGCTGCACGCTCCTCCGCCGAGCGCAGCCGGCGCACCGCCATGGCCGGCGTGCCTCGAGGCGCCGTCGAACGCCGTCGCCGCTCTCGGGAGTGTGAAATGCGGGGGAGAGGGGGAAATGACATAGGGTTTAACAGGCCACCTGTTTTTGCTCAGCTGCGGGGCGATCCTCGCCGTCGGCTCGATCCGACAAGTGAGAGCATCGCGCGGCTCCGAGCTGGGCCATCGGGCGCTGATGGGCCATTTTCGGCCGTGGGCTACGGCCCAGGTTGTTACAGTCCAGCTAAAAGTTTTTTTTACGTGTCTTGCTGCTGGGCTGGCCCCCTTTTTTACGTGTAACTGTGGGGTATTTCGGACACATACAAATTTTGGCCATTTTCTGTCTTTTTCAGTGCATTTTCATTTAATACACATTAAGTTTTTGCACTGTTTTAGCCAGAAAATATCTGAGATAACAATGAATTAAAACATGCTATTATTCTAGGTAAAATTGAACCAACGAGATATTTTATTCAGGATTTATTATGTGTTTACATGATGATTTTTTTAGACATAAAAAAATGATATTTTTCTTATGTTGATGTCTAAATTGAGAATGAAAATGACTCTGATTTTAATTCGGACCAACGTTGTTTTATTATTATGAGTCATCACTTATGATATTTTAATTCCATGTTTTTTCTACCCAACGGTGTTTTGACATGGAGTTGAAATAAAATACATGGCATGTCTATTTTATTTTGCCAACATAAAATTTCATATTCATGTCAATTACTCATAAAACTCTTTCAT